GACTGGATGGCTTTGGAGTTCCTTCCGACTATCTATATTTCTATGATCTTTATTCCCCAGCCTCCTCCCACTACAAAGCAAACCTTTAAAAACTTGCTCTCAGATCTTTCAGGCTGCAGTGTAAATGTTAGACAAATTCTCCCAGCCCAGAGAATTTGCTTATGAATCATTAATAGAGTCTTGGGCTAAAGGGTTGGAGGTCTGATTGTTAAGCATCAATCAGCGGGTGAGAGCGCAAAAGGGACATCAGTACTCTGTATATTATTCTACCTTGAAGCACTTACTTTACCTGAAATTAAAAATATCAGTGCTGTTAATATCAAAGGACTAAAACCAGCACACACTAAAGATGGTAGCATGTAGCCATTAAGTCACTGGCCAATTGTCTTGCTTCCCAACTGCAGATCAAATACTGTGAAATCTAAACAAGTTATCCAAGGGAAGTCATGCTACTGTGAGAGGGGCAGGGATCGGGTATCATGGCCTTCAGTCACATCCCCAAAGGATGGCGATCCAAGGGTTAGAACTAGAAATCATCAATGGAGCAAGGCTGGGGTTAAAGGGGTACAGCCACTGTTTGGTCACTGAGATCAGGATCAACACTGGGATTAGCAGCAGTATGGTACAATGGAAGGCGTGCTGGATTGGCAGTCAGAGGTCTTGGGTTCATTTCCACAATCTTCCAAAAGGTCCTTTCCAGCTCTAGTTCTCTGATCCTATTATACAATCTTATGATCCTATGATCCCAGAGTTAGAACCAGGCAAGTTGCATTTCCTGCCACTGATTTGGAACTGGCCTACAGCAATGCACTTCCCTTTTCTGTGACTCAGTTTCTGTTTTAAATAAAAGGATTGCAGTGGGTGATCTTGGAAGTTCCTTCTGGCTCTGAATCATATTCTATGGTTCTAAGGTAACCTAGAAATGGATGTGCTGGCTTTGTCCCAGCTACAAAAATGGTTCTTTGTACTTATTTCCCCCCTTTATTCGGGAAACTGTGCAAAGGATCTTCCACTGTCAACTCTGCATCCAGTGGTCTGTATCTGGGAGAAAACATAGGACGGGTCTTGTAGCTCAGTTTCCCTAGTGAGTCATTGGCTCTTGAAACCTCTGCAACTGATGTGTACCTGTCTTAATGAATGGCACTTAGGAAGACCATCCATCTTTCTCACCACACCCAAGGCCCCAGTCTCTTTAAGCCCCATTATCCCCAGCATTTAGTATTAATTTTTTTTTTATTGAACATGTAGCAAGAGCAGGCACAACAAGGTCATTTTTCATAGATTAATAGGAAAGAGAGATCCTTGGTTGTGTTATCTCACTGATAGCACCTTCCCTTCCTCTTTCCCTTATTCCCTTCTTTCCCTCCCCTCCCCACAATGAGCAGGGGAGGACTGCAGCAGAAAGATAGCTAGTCACTGAGCTTGGGGGAGGGGGCTAGTTTTTACTTGTATACTCACAAACAGTTGCAAGAATCCACCATTCCCCTCTCTTACCCCAACCTCCCAATAATTTTCCATTGTTAAGTGTCTGGTCCTGTCCCTTTCCTTCAGATCTAAACACAGACATAAAACTGACAGGGAAAAGGCTCCCTTGGGATTCCTGGAGAGTATAATTTCTTCTTCAAACCCTTCCCAAGTGGGAACTTGCTGGCACTTGGACAAAACTTGGGATAAGGGTGCCATTCAAGGGGCCAGGAGACTCACTCTTGGCAGCAATACTGGAGATGTTCCATGGGCAGCAGCTGCAAAGATGCAGCCCCTAGTCAGCTTCAGCCAATCCAGGAAAGGCATCTCCTCCAAAGAGTTACATCTCTACAAGACCAGCTGAAGCCTGGCCAGACAGCTGTCGGGATGTGAAAAGCAGACCCAGTGGTCTCAATGGTGTAGTTTTATGCCTTGGGTAGTAGCTATTGGGGAGGAGCAGTATCTACAGTTTGGGACATTTGAAAAAGAAAATAAAGATTTTGTTTGATTCTATACATAGTGTAGGAACCCTAGGAAGAGATATCTCGGGTCTGGGGGAACAAGAAAGGGTGTAAGGGTTGGAAAACAGCTGCTGGGATTCAGCATTCACTCATCAAAATATCTGTTCAGCACTTGGTTCTTGAATACCACTGACTCAAAGATGAAAAAGTCAGTCCCTTACCCTTGAAGAGCTTACAATCTAATTGGCTTCCCCTTCCTGCTGGCTGTGTCCGTGAATCACTGCCTGCTTCAATAGACAGCAGACTTGGAAAACCCCAACCCCCACCCTCACCCACACAAAAACTCAGAGTTGTGGGTGGTCATCCCGACTTGTTGTGCTCTAAAGACATCAGCAACAACTGGTACATTGATTCCAAGGCAAACTGGTTTGGAAGTAGGAGATATTTCCAAGGAGGCCAAAGCCCATCTGACACCATAAGCCCTGAGATACCCCCCTCCCATCCCAGAAATAGGACTGGAGGGATAACTCTACTGCTCCCACCCTTTGCATTCGAACAGCTATTATCACTGTGAAGGTAGCACTGAAGAATCTTCCTTTGCAGATCAACAACACAATGTAAGAAGGCAGGAGATGAGAGAGCGTCGCACTTAGTGGCAGAAAACCTGGGTTCATCTCTCAGCTCTGCTTCTTCTTAGTTGCTTAGACTTAGGCAAGTCACTTTACCTCTGAGCCTCAGTTTTGCCATCCGTAAAATGGAGACTGTTTGCACTACCTACCACACAGGTTTGTTCTGAGAAAAGTGCTTTGTGTACCTTAAATCGACATGGAAAGGATGGTTATTATTATGAGAAGCAAAGGATTTCTAAATACTGGGAAAGGACCTAAGGCAGGGTGTGGCATTCATAGAAAATTATCTCCCACTGACTTCTGCTTTCACTTATTTGCTCCTAATTCAGTGAAGAGAAGGTAACAGGACCCCGCACTAAGGCACATCCCTAAATCTAGGGCCTAATGCAACTCTATGCAATTGAAATCAACCTCTCACTCCTTCCCAATCACACATTAGTTCATCACAAGGCAATCTTCCCAGAAACAAACCATTCTATACTATAGTTTGGGCATAAGTTACGAAGGAGATAGGACATGGGGGCCCCCCACAGGTCATTAAGGGAGCAGATGACTCCAGTGGAGCCAATAAAACATAAAACTCTAAGCTTGGAAATCTTATACTGTACTTTGAAGTCAAGAAGAAAGGGAGCAAGTATATTAAGATAAATGCAGGAAAACAAACCAATTACAGAAGGACGGTCTGCTGCGCAGAGGGGGAACAGGTGAGGTGAAGAATCTGTTAATGCATACGTCCTAGAACTGCACAGGAAGAAGGATGCTCTGATTCCAGAAAACATCCCTAGGACGTGGAAGGACAAATTTGACAGAAGCTTCTCTTTGGAGGTTCTGAATTCCCTGCTGCTCTAGCTCTGGCAGCTAGGTGGGGCCATGGATAAAGCCCACTAGTCAAGAACACATACTGCCTTTATGTACTTACGGCCTGAGTTCAAATCCAGTCTCAGACGCTGAATAGGCTCTATGACCCTGAGCAAGTAATTTAATGTCTGCCTCAGTTTCCTCAACTGTAAAATGAGGGTTATAATAGCACCTAATTCAAAGGGTGCTATATAAATGCTTATTCCTTTTTCCCTTCCCCCTTTCTGGGACAGCAAAGTAGAGTGAGTGGAAAGACCATTGGTTGGGGAGTCAGGAGACCTCAGTTTCTTGTCCTGTTGGACCCTCAGCACACACATGACCTTGGTTGTCATTTCACCTCTTTGAGAATGTTGTTTCTTTATCAGCCCGATGAAGATAATCAAATGACAAAACTGAAAAATACTAGACACTTTTTTTTTTTTGGTTTGGACTTAAGATTTCATCCGTGTGGGAGAACCCTTCAGGTCAAAACTCCCTCCTCTAATGCCAATCCTCAACTTGCCCAAGACCCTGAGGTCCCAACACTGGTATGGGTTGAAGGTCCCTCTGACTCTAAGGCAAGTCCTCTATTCACTATACCATGCCACCTCTAACACAAACACAGCGTAGTGATTTTTATTACTCTTAATGGTGTTAATAACTCAGTCTTCTCTGTAAGTGATCTCCTGACCTAGAAATCTAGTCTCTTGAAATGAACCCGTTCAGGTAGCTCCTACACAGTCAACCACTGCCAGCTCTCATGCCCATTTTGTGCTGTTCAGTTGCATCTAACTCTCTGTAACCCCATTTGGGGTTTTCTTGGCAAAGATACTGAAGTGGTTTGCCATCTCCTTCTCCAGCTCATTTTACAGATGAGAAAACTGAGGCAGACAAGTTTAAGTGACTTGCCTAAGGCCACACAGCTAGTAAGTGTTTGACGCCAGATTTGAACTCAGGGAGATGAGTCTTCCTGACTCCAGGGCCGGCGCTCTATCCATTTGCCACCTAGCTGTCCTTCGTGCCCATTAGAAATAAGCAAAAGTGAAACATAGGCACATCAGCTTATAAATTAATCCCTTGTGAATTTGTGTAGTGAGTCAATCATCCAAAGCCTTGATCGCCCTGGGACATACTGGTAGAGTCAAGTTTCTGAACCTCCAAAGATGTGAACTCAACCTGGGACTTCTAATGACCCCACATAATGGGATCCATGAAGTCTAACCTGAAAGAGCTACCCACCCATACCAGAAAATCCTAGAAGCCATCTAGGCCAGTTAATGAAAACATGGCATTGATGAAGACAGATAGCATGGGTTGGAGTTCTTTAAGGGTTGGTTAGCTTTGCTAGATACTGACCATCTTTCCACATGTGCTGTTATCACTTGGGAGTCCAGGTAAGATGGTCAGTATATAATGGCTCAGCAAAATTCACTCTCATTAATGGAGAAAGTCACCTCAAAGTACATGCCCGCCATGATGACAATAGTAGCAGTATCTCCAGATACATATGCTCTAAAAAAAAGTCCCATAAATATTTACATACTGCCTTCCTGTAAAATGCTCTAAGGATTTAATAGAGGTCGTTGCCATCTTCTCCAATCTCCCCACATTCTGCTGTATGATAGACACTGATGCCTCTCTAAAGTCTCCATTCTCAGACTACCCCCAGCCTACAAGGTGAGGATGTTATGCCCACCTGCAAGCCTATTGACTTAGAGAGTCAGGTTTTGGCCACCCATCTCTGCCCCTGTCCACGGTACCTCAAGGAAAAAGCATCAAAATCATCTCCTTAACTGCAGATAGAATTTGGTCTTTGTGAAGTGAATTTCTGGCATCCCTGACTTAGGATATGAACAAAAGTGAGGTAGTGGGTATACTGGGTGGGTTATCAGTGGTGCAAGGAATGAACCTCCTACAGAAAAATTCTGACCAAAGTCAGTCCTGCCTACTTAGTCTTCTAGGTAGTTTCCTTGGAGGATGGGGAGCCCCTAGACGGTGTCCAGTCTTGCCCACCACTGCGATCCCTCCCTATAATCTTGCTGTTTTTGGGAGGCCTTGGATCAAGCCGGGCTTGTGTGGCAATCACCAGCAGGTCCTTCTTAGACATCTGCTGGCTCTGAGGCCTTTGGAAGAGCAGTTGGAAGGTGGCAGACCTCTTCTCTGTACAACTTTGGCTCCTGCAGCCACAGTGCTGGGAGGCAGATTCTGGAAAGACAAAAATCAGCATCATCCTCAAATTGTGGTGCTGGAGTAGGTACTGTCCAACAAAAGTTCACAGGATCCAGTGCTGAGAAGGCCCCTCATCCAAGGGTTATTAGGTCTTTAGCCTTTATATATATATATACATATTATAATTGTGTTCAATATAATTGGTTTCCACTATAATCCTATGGATTTTATTTTATGCATTTAAAGAACATTCTTCTGAGAAGGGATCCATAGGCTTTACCAGATTGTCAAAGGGGTCTATAACATAAAAAAGGTGGGGAACCCTTCTAGACCAACCTTCTCATTTTAAAGAAAAAAGTTCGAGACCACAGAAGGTCACAAAGTTGGTAAATGGTTGATCAGGGCACCAGACTCAGGTCCTCCAACTCCTCTTGCCTAGTTACTCATCAGGCAGCAGGAATCCCTTGCCTTTAGGAAATCATGATCTCAAACAGCCCAAAGTCCAAAAAGTATCAGAGATTTCATGATCTGAAACCATCATTGATGCTACTTTGAGGAAGCCTCAGGCCATGACCTCACTTTCACACCCGAGGCCCATTCGCAGCCTTTAGCCAGAGCAAGTTCAGCTGGTTGGGCCCTATACAGAGGTCAGCTTTGAGCTGTCTACAGGAGCACCCTGAAAACATGATTCCATTCTTATCTATTTTGTCTCCCCACCCAGGGAAATTGTTATCTCCTTCAGAACTGAGTGAACCTGACCCACAGAGCCCTTTCCTCCAGGGAGGTGTGATAAGCCTCTATAGACAGGCTAACTCACTTTTTTTTTTGTTCAGCAACAGCTTTGGGTTGAAGCTGGTTGGGAAAGACAATTGTGCCCCCAGGGGCATGCTGTTAATCAGCTTGGTCATTAGGAACCGCCTTTTGTCCTCAGAGCTGCTGAAGTTCCTGTTTTGTGGCTGGCCACACCATGGGCCTTGGGGCTTGGTGGAAGAGGACACTTTCTCTTGGCAGGAGTTCTGGGCAAACTTCTGTGACTTGTAGAAGACTTGAATGGAACTGTCTACCTCCAAGTGGATGCAATGAGTTGACATGGGTCTGGGAGATGTGCTCAGAGTTGGCAATGGCTCTGGGGACTGTAGGGGACAGTCACTGGCAGTAGATGAGGTTTCCACCAGAGCAAGAAGCTGAAAGAAAAGGAGGGCAAACCTCAGTTGGGAAAAGCCAAAACAGCCTCTCCCTATGGGTCCTTGGTAAGAACAGAAAGATGAGAAGTTGGTTTAATGGGTGATGGGAAGGACTTAGAAGAATTTTCTGACTACAAGTGGGGGGACATTAGAACAGACCAATCATGGTTACAGTGACTCTTTCTCTGGAGGGTTTTTTTTTTTCTGAAAGTCTGTAAATAACTGGCTTCATCTGCTTGGATAGGACCCTACCTAAGAACAGGAATTATAATGATAGAGATAACAGCTAGCATTGATCTCAGTTGAACCTCATAACAACCGTGTAAGGTAGATGCTCAAAGATGGGAAAACTGAGACAGAGCGAGCTTAAAGTGACTTACCCAAGAACATGCATCAAATAAGTGTGGTTTCGATCACACGTTACCCCCAAAGTAGGGCAGGTTTTGAACTCAGGTCTTCCAGAACCCCAAGTCTAGTGATCTATCCACTGCCAAACACCTAGTTGCCTCAACAAGGACAAGGAGGTGGGTAAGTCATTTCCAAGCCCATGACTCTGATCCTATCCACCCACCACATACAAGCATAGGTTTGCAAAGCACCTTACAAATACTATCTCCTTTAATTCTCACAAGCCTCACAAGTAGGGTCACTGGTGCTACTGCCCCCATTTTACAGGTGAGAAAACAGAGGCTGAGAGAGATTACAGTAACTTGCCCAGGGCAACACGGCTAGCCAGCATCTGAGGCAGAATTCAAACTTGGGTCTCCCTGGCACCAAACCCAGCACTCCATCTATTGCACCACCTATTTGTTTGACTAGGTATCTCATCTAGTATGCCATCCCACTACTTGAGTTTTAAAACTAGGGAGGGAACATTTTGCAAAAGAGCAAGCATCGGCACAGAGGACCTGGATTCAAGTCCCACTTCTGATGCTTATTATCTGTCACCCTCCCTGGGCCTCAGTTTCCTCAAATGTAAAATGAGGCTGAACCAGATGTGTTCTGAGGTCTCTTCCAGGTCTCGATATTTATATACTCTAAATAGACCCTAGATTTAGGATGCTTTGAAACTAAGACCTGAAGCAGTTAAGTGAATGTCACAATACCACACAGTAAGGAAGACGGAATAAAAACCAGAGTCCAGGGCACTTGACCACTGGTCCAGGAGTTTCTGCCCTTGGCTTGGTCTCAGGCTCTAGGAGCTTCAGCATTTGGATCGAGGCTCATATACTTAGAACTGGAAGGGAGGGGCAGCTAGGTGGCGCAGTGGATACAGCACCGGCCCTGAAGTCAGGAGGACATGAGTTCAAATCCGACCTCAGACCAAACACTTGACACTTACTAGCTGTGTGACCCTGGATAAGTCACTTAACCCCAATTGCCTAAAAAATATAAAAAAAAAAGAACTGAAAGGGATATTCTAGGGATCATCTAATCTTAACCTCCTCCTGAGGCCCAGAGAGATTAAATCACTTGCCCAGGCTCACCCAGGTAGAGGTGTAAGTAGTCATTTTTGTACCTAGAACAAATGGCAGAAAAGGCAGAGGGAGAGGTGTACTTTGGGTGCGGATGCTACGGGGAAGAAGTTTTCCCTGGGATGGTGCCATAGGCATCCTCTAACTAGCCCACCCTGTACAAAACCCTAGTGGTCCTGTCCCAGTTAAGGATCTGCACAGAGATAGTGGTAGAACCAGGATTTGAAGTTGGGTCCTGGAACTCCGAATATTAACAATAATTATTATTACACAGAGCTTTCAGGTTTGCAAAGCATTTTATAATCTCATTTTATCCTCACAACTTCAAGAGGTAAGTACTGTTATCTCCATTTACAGATGAAGAAGCTGAGACAGAGGTTAAGTGACTTGTCCAAGGTCACTGAGACAGTAAATACCTGAGGCTACATCTGAAGTCATCCTGACTCCAGCATTCTCTCCACTGCTCCACCTAGTTACCCCCAGCCCCCTTCTACTACCGAGCACCGCTGACTTCCATCCCAGAACCACTCAAGCACATGCTCACATCAGAGAATGACTTGGATCCTTCAGCATTTGCCGAGATGGGTTTCCAGGGCTCCTGCTTTTCTGTGCTGGTGAAGAGTGTCTTCCTGAGGTCTGGCACAGAGCTATAGTGACACACACCAGCTTTCTCTGGAAAGGTGGCATTGGCCTCCCGCTTGGGGGTCTCCTCATAGGAGCTGAAGGGTTCTATGCATTTCAGAGACTCATTTTCATTTTCCTTTGGCTTCAACTTTGACTTTGAAACCAACGTGGATGAACAAGGCAGCAACATGGAGGAAGTGGAGAGCTGGGAAGGAGCAAACCAAATATATGCATGGTACTTGGTGAATCCACCTCTTACCCCTGTTAGAGTCATTTGCATAGGAGGGTGGTGAGGTCGTGGGGTGCTGGGGGGAAGGGCCCATTATAAAAGCCTCTCTCATTCCCTAGGGTTTTGAGATAGTAGGCAAAATGAAAAATGAGCTGGGTCTTTGCACTTATGTACAATGCGGGAGTTGATAAAGCGGGATTTGGAAGGGAAGCTCAAGACTTAGGTGAGACAAGGTAAGACTAGGCTGGGAGAAGAGTGCCATGCTTTTTCCAGACAGGGGCCAAAAGAAACAGCAGAAGACAGTCATCCCTAAATTATGTCCTTTAGGAAATCACTGGAGTCCCTTGAAATTTCCACATCTCAGAAGTTTTGCCCAGCTGTCTGGCAGTGGGATAATTTGCTAGGTCTAATAGAGAGAGAAATCATCCTCTCCTAGAGGGGGAACTAGGAGTATGGGGTAAATGCAGTCTTGGAACCACCCCCTCCCACACCCCCTATGACTTTTTTTTGTTTTGGAGGGGTGGGTAGCAGCACAGTCCTGTGGCCTTTCTAGACACCTTATTGAAGGCAGAAAGGAAGGCGGACAAGACAGGACTTGTGCAGCATTCTTTACTGTTTAGCCAGGCAGAGGTCTGAAAAGGACAAGGGGGAACCCTGTGCCTCGCCATCCACCCCTCCACTCCCATTGCGGCTCCCAGCCCTCTTCTCAGCCCAACACTTTCATTGTGCTTGGGCACTGGCTTGTGGTCTTCTTGATCAGCCCCTCCACCCCCAAAGGCAGGGCAGGGAGGTGTACTGGATATTTCGGCTTTTCCCGACCATCAGCATTTACTTGTCTGGCGCTGTACACGGGTGCTCTTTGTTTTGTCTCCTTTGGGAGAGAGACCCTGGTCCCATCGCCTGCTGATTCACCCTGAAGTTCATTCTTCTTTTCCTTAAGACATAAGGCTTTCTTCTCCTGCTTCAGCCGTAATTCCTGGATCTGCTGCCTGGTCAATTCAATTCAATTCAACAAATGTGTTACAACACTAACAGAATGCTGTGCTAGCTAAGCTGGGGAAAATACAAAGTTTAGATAAGACAAAGGGGCCTGCCCTCATAAAGCTGGCAGTCTAGGAAAAGATAAGATACTAATAAAGATAAATAAATAAAGGGATACTAAAAAGGATAAGATACCAATATAGAAAACAATAAACAATAATTTATGCCAAGTACCGGAGCCACAACTAGGCATTCTGACACTTGAATTAAATTCAGTTGTGGCAGTGAAGGGCAGGATGGAAGGCAATGGTCCAGGGAAGCCCCAGGATAGACAATCCATTTGTACACGCAGTCATACCCAGACGGGGTACAACCCATTCTCACCCTTCCTTCTCCCCCTGACCTCTGCCAGTCCTTGACCCCATCTGTCTTTCCAGATACTGCTTCAGGGGCACCGGACACAGAGAAGATAGCATCTGGACAAATATAGGAAAAAAGCACCCCACAACCACCGTGGTGTCCACCTGGGACAAATTCCCAGAAACCTTGTCCTAGTTCACTAAAGAGGTACAAAGGAGATTGTTATTTGAGGTCCAAGGGGAGGTTATTTCTGACTAGGGGGGTTGAAATGCTGGGGGAAAGGGAGAAGGTAAGAGGAATGACCTTGGTGCAGGGACCAATAATTAAGTAAGTATTATCATGAGGGGTGGGGGAGGGGGATGACGATACTGAGTTGGACTTCAAAGGGTAAGAGGCTAAGAGGAAAAGGGAGTACAGTACAGGCATAGGGAACAGTGTAAAAAAAAGGCACAGATAGGAAGTATAGGGCATGCTCAAGAGACAGAAAGTAGTCTAGCTTGTCTGGAATGTAGAGTGGATAGGAGTGTGTGTAGTAACAGAAAATAAGTCTGGAAAGGCAGGGTGTCACCACATAAGATCAAAGATGGCCTTGGATACCAGGCAAAGGATTCCTATCTCACTTGATGACATAGTACTTGACAAGAGATGTTCCGAGTGGAGGGGTGACATGACCAGATGTATACATAAAGAGCAATCTGGAAATAATATGAAGATTGGATAGACGAGGGGTCACTTCTCTTAGTGTTTGTTGAGGGCACCATCATCCTCCCAGTCATCATGTTCTCAATCTTTGAATCATACTTGACTCACTGGCTACCTTCAAGTCACAGCTGAAATCCTACCTTCCCCATCACCCTTAATTCCAGCGCTTTTCCTTTGTTAATTATTTCCGGTATATAGTTTATTTTTACATGTTTGTTTCCTTGTTGTCTCACTAGATTGTGAGCTCCCGAGGGCAGGGCCTGTCTTCTGCCTTTCTTTGTATCCCCAGTGCTTAGCACAGTGCCTGGCACATAGACTCTTCCCTTTCTCTCACTCCCTATATCCAAACAGTTGCTAAAACTGGTGGTGTCGTCCACCATAGCACTTTATGCTTCTGTGCCTGTTTTCCTTCCCTCACAGCATCTGCCCTAACTTAAGTCCTTGTCACACTGTATTTCAAGAGGGGTGAAAGGGGTGTATAACAGGTACACAGTTATGTAAATACAAAGCAGAGATCAGAAAAGGACCTGTGATAATATTAGTGCCTTCCCTCCATGGATTAACTCCAGCTTCTCCTGTCTGTAGCTTGTTTGTACATAGCTCTTTGAATGTCATCTCCCCCATTAGTCTTCTGAGCTCCCAGAGAGTCTGGACTATTTTGGGGCCTTTCTTCATACCAACATCTCTTAGCAGTGTCTGGCCCAGAGCAGGGGCTTAATAAAAGTGTGCTGACTTGACTTAGGAAATTCTCAGGTGATGAAGTCCCCTCTGCCAAGGCAGATAGATGCCTCCTTTGGAACTGACAGTCCTAAAAGTTGCCTATAAAAATCAAGAGGTTACATGATGTGCCCAGGTTGACACAGCCAGTGTGCATCAAGGGACACTTTTGAACCCAGGTCTTCTTGGCTCTTGGCCTGCTCTCTCAACAACCCACTATGCCAGGGTTGCCTCTAAATAATAAGAGCTATCATTCATATAAAGCTCTAAGGTTTCCAAAGACCTTTCCACCTATTATCTCACTTGATTCTCACAACAACCCTGTGAGATAGGTGCTGTTATCCCCATTTTACAGGTGAGGAAAATGAGGCCAAGAGAAATAAAGTGCCTTGCCCAAGATCACACAGGCCTAAATGGCCAAGGATGGATTTGAACTCAGGTCTTCCTAACTTCAAGTCCGGCACTCTGTCCACTATGCCACCTAGCTATAAAAGGAATACAAAATAATAAAAAAATTTCAAAAGGAAGAGAACGTGAACAATTTGGGGGGTGGGGGTAGGCAAGAATTAGGAAAGGCTTGGACCACTGCAATGGTCTCTCTACTTCTAGTCTCTCCTCTCTCCAGTATTTCCTCCACACAGATGCCAAACTGATATTCCTAAAATAAAAATCTGACCACGCCACACCTCCATCTCTCTTTCCTCTACTCCAAAAGGTTGAATGGCTTCCCACTGCCTCTAGGATAAAGTACAAAATGAGAATTTGGAGGATGTAAAGCCCTCCATTATCTGGCTTTCACCTACCTTTCCAGTCTCATTAGGTTTTACTCCACTTCACATAAGTCTGTGGCAGACAAACTGGCCGTGTTTTCCAGCAGGTCATTGCCCCTGGAACGTCTTCCCTCCTTACCTCTACCTCAGAGAATCGCTGGCTTCCTTCAAAGCACCTCCTAGAGAAGACCTTCCCTGACCTTCCCCGTGGTCGTCAAGTTTTCGCCCTCTCAAAGTTACTTTGCATTACTTCCAAGATATTTGGTACTTGCTTGCATAGTTCCTCTTATAGAGTGGAAGCTGCTTGAAGGCAGGTACTTTTGTTTTTGTCCTGGTATCCGAACATGTTTGTTTAATGAACATTTGTTGAAATGAATCGGGGAAGTTCTATTGGGAGGTTTATTGTAACAGGCCTAGTTGGGACAAGGGTATGAAGAGTGGTAAAAGACGGAGGGAAGGGATGAACCCTTGTAGAGTTAGATTCCACCAGACTCAGCAACTTACTGGACAGGAAACATAAAGGAGGAAGAAAAAGTCCCTAAGTTGATAGACAATAGTAAATAGAACAGGGGTGGGGAACCTGCGGCCTGGAGGCCACATGTGGCCTTCTAGGTCCTCAAGTACGGCCCTTTGCTCACAAATGTTCTGTAAAGTTTGTATTCCGTCAAAGGGCTACACTTGAGGACCTAGAAGGCCACATGTGGCCTCCAGGCCGCAGGTTCCTCACCCCTGAAATAGAATATAGAAACAGTGTAAGAGGTGCAACTGACAGAAATACTGAAGTCAGAGGGGAGGACAGATTGAGGAAGAAAAATAATGAGCTCAGTTACGGTCATTTTGAATTTAAGGTGCTGGTGGACCATTCAAGTAGAAATGTCCTAGAGAAATGTCTCATGCTTCTCAGATCCAAGTACAAATATCTTGAGTAGCTCAAGATTTGAATTTGTTGGTCAGTCAACAGACATTTATTAAAGGCTTACTATATGCTGAGCATGGGGATGCAAAGAAAGACAATAAAGACAATCCCTGCCCTCAAGGAGCTTCTACTGTAAGGGGGGGGAGGCGTGCAAATCACTATGTACACACAAGACACATATACAGAGCACAAACGAAAGGTAATATCAGAAGGAAAAGGGAGAGAGACCTGGCTCCTCACAAGGTTTAGCGTTGAATCTAAAAGAAACCAGAGAAGTGAGTTGGAGTTCAGAAAAGAGCTGAAGGTAGGCAATATCAATTTGGGAGGCATCTGCATTGAAGTGGGAGTTGAATCCATGGAAATGAATGCAATTAACTAAAGAAGAAGAGAAGAGGAAGTGAAAGGAAAGGAGAGAAGAGAAGAAAGGAGAGGGAAAGGAAGAAAAGGGGAAGAGAAGAGAAAAAGAAAAAAAAAGACAAGTGGATGAAGGATAGACTCATGAGGAATAGCATTACAAAGGCATAAGGAAGAAAATAAGGCATGGTTAGAAAACTAAGAAAATGGAAGAGTTTGGCATCTTTGAGGTTGACAAAGAATGGATATGCGGAAGGAAAACATGGTCAGCAGGGTTAAAAGCTACAAAGAAGTCTGGGAGGAAGGGGCCTGAAAAAAAGTCCACTGGATTTGGTGATCACTGGAGATCAGATCAAGAGAGCAGTTTCAAAACGGTGAAATTAGGGTGGGGTACAGAGTGGAAGGGACTCAGGAAGGGGAAACATTTGGAAAGCTGTAGGACAGTAGCTGGCTAGAATGGAGTAGATGGATTAAGTAGAGGCTTTTTTTTTTCAAATTTAGAAATTAGGACATGAGGATGTTGATAAGTATACATGGGAAGAAGCCAATGAAGAGGGGAAGATTGAAGGACACGTGGGCAAACCCCCTCAACCTCTCAGTGCCCCACACAACTAACTCTCTAAGACTATACATTTCAGAACAGTTGCTGATCTTCCTGGAAATTCTCCACCAGGGACTCGTACATCAGCAAAACCACAGATCTGAACCCAAAAACCAAAAAGGGGATGAGAAGGGGAGGGGAGAATAATTACTGGAGTGAATGGCAAATAATGAAACCGAGGGTACAGGTAGAAAGATTGGTGAACAATTCACCAGAAGGTGAATGAGGATGCTAAAAGTATTGAGTACTAAAGGAGAGGACTGAAGAAATCCTTGTTAATAATAGATAATGACAACTGGGTTTGGTGGGTGACAACTAGTAGGGGGTGGGGAGGGCCTTGGCCCAGGGGCCCTCCAACTCAAGATGGGTTTTAACCTAGAAGGTGGAAAGGGGAACCTAGTTTTCTACAAGTTTTCACCCCTCTCTTCCCAAAGCAGCCCCATCCTCAACAGCTGGTTCTAAGGCAATCAGTATTGAAACCTAGAAATCTAATAGCAGGAAACAGGAGTTAATTCATTCTCCCCCAACCCCCTCATCCCCAACTTCAAATCACATACACATACACATACAGACATATACACACATAATTTCTAATTCTTGGAATAATATCTCTGGGGGAAAACAGGAAATGGGAAACCATCCCCTTCTGCCAAGCTCATACCCCAGTATGGTTACTGTGGAATGCAAGCTAGGGAGACTGGGCCTCTTTTCCCAAGCTGCTTCACATCCTGTACCTTACTGGTCCCTTGATTCTGGAGAAGACAATTATAAGGAACCCAGAAACAAAGATGTCCAGCAGCAGACACTCCTGTCTGTTTGTAAGACAATACACTGATCCAGAACTAAGTCTGCAATGTTGTCCATTGGGGTTGAGTGTCCACAAACAAGAACCCACCTATTTGACAACTTGAGACTTTATACTTTTCAATCTTTCTGGGAGGCCTATGGGATAAGGGGATAAGTATTCTTCTAGCAACTACAGCCAGGCCAGGCCTTCTAAGGCCAAAAAATAGTGTATGGTCACATGGTGGCAGTCCCAGAGCCAAACCCCCGCTGCCTTGCCCCACCTTAGATGACCCTGGCTTTCCTTTCCATACCGGGCATGCATTTCCCGGGCTCTGGAGGTCACCGTGTTTTGAAAGAGTGAATTGCTGTGATGAAAATATTTCTGATACTTTTCAGACCCACACTCAGGATAAATCCTCCGGAAGCCGCCACTTTTTTCCTTCTCATAACGTTCTATTTTCTCCAGCCGCGCAGCCTGGTAATTCTTTAATTCCTCAACCCTGCAAGAAGCAGAGATGTGGGGTTGCAACAATTTTTCTCAGAATGACACTCAGGGAGTTGGGGTGCAAGGAGAACTACAGGAAGTCACCTCACCCAGTTCCCCCACCTCCAAGCCAGTCCTCATTTATGCTGCCTTATTGCCAGTGGAGACGTTCTTTCAGATGTAGCAAGAGAGAAAGAGCTTAAGGTGTTTCAAACCTTCCTTGGTTTAGTTCTAATGAGATGGGGAATCATCCCCCTTCCAAAGAGGAAGATGCTCCCCAAAGAAGAGTTTGTGTTTTCCTGAATTCAAGGAACTCTCTCCAAGGAGCCTGACATGTTTTTATGGACACAATGTTCTGCTTCCTCAGAGTCTCCTTGGGAGGGTAAAGATCAGAAGGAGAGGAATGAAAGAATTGAAATTCAAAAGCCTTAGGTGCCCCTAGCTCAGGGTATGACCTTGGACAAGTCACCAGCCCTCAGCTCCCTCATCTGCAAATTGGCAGGGGTTAGACAAGATCTGTTTTTGTTTTTTGCTAGGCAATGGGGTTAAGTGACTTGCCCAGGGTCACACAGTTAGTAAGTGTCAAGTGTCTGAGGGCGGATTTGAACTCAGGTCCTCCTCACTCCAAGGTTGGTGCTCTATCCACTGTACCACCTAGCTGCCCCTGGACAAGAAGATCTTGAAAGTCACTTCTAGCTCTAAAATTGTGATTTTTTTTTTCTATATTAGAAGGCTCCTTTCAAAGAAGCAAAATCAAAACCTAATGGCATATCCAGTGATGTTACTGAATATGCAACCAGACCAGAGACAAAACCTAGGTTTTCTGATTTCTACCTGTCTCCCTACCCCCAGTTCTTTTTTCTTTTTTTTTTTTTTTTGAGGCAATCAGGGTTAAGTTAACCAGGGTAACACAGAGCTAGTAAGTGTCAAGTGTCTCAGGCCAGATTTGAATTCAGGTTCTTGTGATTCCGGGGCCAGTGTGCTATCCACTGTGCTACCTAGCTGCCCCCATCTTCTTGCCCCCCACTGCCAAATTCTAAAAAGGTCTCCCTTTCAAGGAGTTACAAGTAATCCAGTCTGCAATGTGACGATTCAGGCCTACCCAGTGTTATCATTTGAGGAGCGCTGAAAGGCCTCTCTCTCTCCCCAAAGTACATCCTACACTCATCTGAAATTCCTACGATGGGATTAAGGGACTGTGACTCCAAAAGATCCTGATTAAAACACATCAAAATGTTACCTGGGAAGAGTAACACTAAGACATAAGCACTAATAGGGGAAGGAACACTGAGGTTATCTTGCCCTTCCTTGTCCTGGGGGCACACCTGATTTCCCTGGAACGGATATCCTGCAGAAACTTTGCCCTGCGCCTCGCTTCTTCTAGGACTTTCTTCTTGTCACAGGCTCCCAGGTTGATCAGGACCAGGGTGTCGTACAGCATACTGTCTTTGACTTCTTTGTCTAACCGGGAGTCGGTGGAGAAGCTGGGAGAGTGATTAACCTGAGCGGGCAAGATGGCGGCTTGGGTGTTAGACTTACCAGACTGGAAAGGGGAACAATTACTAAAAGTAGAAATTAATGGGACCCTCTCTGTCCCTCCAAGTGGTCCGCCAATGATAACTCACTTTTTTTTTTTAAAGACTGGGTCCCAGCCACCACAAACATATTACCTCAGCTGGAAGAAGAAAGGTTAGTCATGGACCAATTGCCCTATTGATGAGCACTGGAGCTTTGACCTTCTCTGTTTCTGTCCTGGGTGGGTTCACTTGTCCTTAGGCAACCTGGTGGACAAGTTCCTCCCACCTCCTCTTGGGAGCTAGTCATATTAGTGCCAGAGTTAGTGCAGTCATCTAATCAGCTTCAGAGTTACAGCGCCTTAGAATTCCCAAGCTCAAGAGATTTGGCAGCCTCCATCTTTCCCACCAGCTGGGATTACAGGTGTATGCAACCACACTGGGCAATAACTCCCTTTTACACAGCACTTATAAAGTACTTTCCCCACCGAGATAGGTAGCACCAGTATTGGTTCCATTTTAGAGATGGGTAAATGAGGTTCAGAAAAGTGAACTGACTGGCCCGTGGTCATACAAGCTATCAAGTGTCAGAACTGGGATTCGGACCCAGGCCTCTCCTAACTCCAAGTCCAGAACTCCTTCCCATTAAACCACACTCCCTTTCACCGGAGATTATCCTGGGATCTCGGAGCAGAAGCTATTGAAGGGCAAGAGGGGAGAGGGATACATGAGTGTGAAGTATGAGAAGAGCTCCCCCTGAGCTAGAGGGGAATAAGGAAGAGACAACGTCCTCATCTGGGGGTTGGTTTTAATTTCACTTTACTGCATCTGAGTGGATGAAAAGGAGTCGTGAAATGCCCTCTAATTTAACTCACTTTCTCTCCGCTTCAGATCCTTTTTGAAGGTGCATGTATATAGATGAAGGATTAGTAGTTAACAATCCCACGCTGGCATTCATTTAGTGCTTACTACATACCAGACACTGTGAAGTGCTTTACAAATATCTCATTTGATCGTCACAATAACTCTGGGAGGTAAGTGCTATTATTATCCCTATTTTACGATGGGGAAACTGAGGCACGGTGGTTAAATGCCTTGGCCAGGGTTATTACGCTAATAATTGTCTAGGGGCAAAATCTGAACTCAGATCTTCCTCATTCCAGGCCCAGCATTCTATCCACTATGCCACCTAGGTAGGGGATGTATGTAAGTATGTCTTGGGTGGGTGGTGGGTGGGGAGGTCAGAGAGTACACAAAAAGAAAGAGAATAGGGAAGAGACTCACCTCAATTCTCACTCCCTTATTCTTCCTTCTCAAGCCAACCCTAAAGAGAACTTACCTGAAAGGAAAGCTGCTATATCTGATGCCAGTTGGAGGTGATCTATCATCCCCCCCACCAAAAAAAGCAATAGGACTGAGTATTTTCAAAAGAATAGCAAATTTAAAAAAAGCAATAGGGCTAAGTATTTTCAAAAGAATAGCAAATTTTTAAAAAAGCAATAGGACTGAGTATTTTCAAAAGAATAGCAAATTTTTTAAAAAAAGCAATAGGACTGAGTATTTTCAAAAGAATAGCAAATAAAGGACTATGGGAAAGAAGAGATGGCCTATGAAAACAGAAAGGGAAAGGAGACAAAACAGCTTTCTCTCTTTTTTTCCTGTCTTTGCCTGATCTAGGACACTACTACCTTTAGCTCTAATCAAGGATATCCCTTCCCCAGTAGCCTCCTTTGTGCCAAGACGTGGGGTTGCCTCTGGGACTCCAGTGTTTTCACAAGCCAGGAACTGGGACTGAATTTCCAGGTCAGGGTGGATGTGAGAAACTCTGTAATTCCCTGAAGTCTATCCCCCTCTGCTGGTCACTTACTAGACAAGCAGGCTTGGCACTGAGGGATAAAGAAAGACATTAAGGAGCTTGAAAGAACAACTCAAGTGAAAAAAAGGGGAAACCCCAGAGATGACCGGTGGTCTGAATAAAAAGAGGGCAAGGAACACATACACCCCTCTCCATCTCTTAACTAGGTGCTTATTTAAAATGTTGAATTGGATTACCTCCAGAAGCCAGGGTTTAAGTTTTCTGTCCAACAGAATATCAAAGCCCAAAATTTCAAAGCAGGCACTATTCATGATGTGGTTGGGGAAGCAGGTATGATAGTTGTGCTTAATTATAGGGTGAGCAGTAATCAAGGTCTTGATGATTATATCTTCAATATCTCGCCACATCTTCACCGTGTCACAGCCAAGTTTGTCCATGTAGGCATTGAAGGTGGAGAGCTTCCTACAAAAGGAATTAAATTAAAATGTTAAAAAGGGAGAGAGGCTAACTTTCCGGTCTCCTGAGATTTTCAGTGCTGTGTGGAGATCAAAAGGTGTTGGCAACTGGAAAACAAAAGCGCTCTAGAAGAAGAGATATTTCTGAGCCCCGGCACATGGTGGTTCTTGCCTATTAACCCTATTAAGTCAGGGAAGCTGAAGCTGGTGGACTGCTTGAGTTCAGGAGTTCTGGGCTACCATAGGAAGAAAGCCAATCAGATGTCCACTCTACGTCTGGCACCAATATGGTGAACCCCAGAATGTGTGTGTGTTGGGCAGGGTGCAGCAGGCTGCCTAAAGAGGGGCAAACTAGCCCAGATCAGAAAGCTATGAGTACCACTGCAATTGCAGCTTGGGGGAGATGGAGAGAGCCACTTTCCCCCAATCCTAACTCCATCTCACCCTCCCACCCCCCTGCAAAAAAAAAAAATTCATTGGAATCTTCAGAATTTAGATTTAAAGCTGGAAGGGACCTAAGAGGTCTAGTCTAATCCCCTTCTTTTATTGATGAACCTAAGATTTAACTCACCCAAGGTTAATACTGGTAATAAGGGACAAAGCCCAGAGACCAGGGATGTGGGCAGGGCACAGACCAGATATCACAGGACTGAGCAGTTCTTGACCCAGAAATCACAGGCCAGAGTTCAGAATGAAAAGTCACAAAATAAAATTAGAGAAATTGTGCTGGATTGGAGGGGAAAGAGGCAAATGTGCTGAGAATATTCATTCCCCTGTCACTATTCCTTCTTCCTCAAAATAACTATTGAGCTACTCTTTTTTCTTCTGTTTTGTTTTGTTTCTTCTTTCTTGTGGTTCCTCCTATTGGTTCTAATTCTTCTTTACAACATGACTAATGTGAAAATATGTTTAATAGGAATGTATATGTAGAGCCTATATCAGATTACATGCCATCTTGGGGAGTCAGGTGGGGAGGGGGAGAAAATTTAAAACTCAAAAGCTTATAAAAGTGATTGCTGAAAACTAAAAATAAATTTATTAATTAAAAACTACTGAGCTAGAAAAAAAGAAGTCAGAGTTCTAATGGCGAGAACAAAAGTAAGCTAAAACTACTCTAATAATCAAGGCCCAGGGAATAGTATATTGATTAATTTTAGGATTACCCAGGCAGATAAAGGTTTATTACTCTTTATTAAGGGATTCCTGGGTCCCAGAACAGGGGCATTAAAATCACAGAACCTTAAATCTAAAAGCAAGCAAGCAAGAAAACAAACAAAAAAAAAAAAAGCACCTAAAAGCATCAGAAATAATTGTTCAAAAGCCCCGAGAAGTAAAGGCAGGTACCTTAATTTCATCCAGAAGCCCTTAGGCTATCATTCAGAGTTAATTGATTCTTATTTAACAAAGAATTCTTAATGAAATCCATTATTTGGTTTCCAATCCCCTCACAAAAGATTAGAAGCAGCAAACTAGTAATAGGGTGGGAAGGTGGCTACAGGCAGGCCCACTGAGAGCAGTGAAATTGACAGCTGATAATCTGTCAGATCAAATGTGATAACAAGAATTTCTTTGCCAGCTTTAAAGGGCTATATAAGTGCTATTGTTACACTATTATAGATAGTGACCAAGGAGACAGAAAAACTAAAAAGAAAAACAGAACTCAGCTGTACCGTGAACTAGAGAAGAATATAATAATGTTTTTAATACTGACCTCTAGTCATTAGGAAAGGGGTAAATTTTGTCCAGTACCAGCTGATCTCTCCTCCCTTTCTCAGCCAAACTCCTCTATTCTAAACTCTCTACAATCTGGCTTCCTACTTGATAACGTTCTCCAAGAGGTAGCTGGGTGGCCCAAGAGGTAAGGGATTATTAGACTTGAGTCAGGAATATCTTGAGTTCAAAGCCTGTCTTAGGCACTGACTAGCTGTATGACCCTGAACAAGTCACTTAAACTTCACTGTTTCTTCAGCTGTAATATGAGAGGGTTGGACATGATGTAATATGATTTAGAACAAGTAAAGCAATCAGCATCTGAACCTAATGATTGTCAAGCGCAAAGAAGGAAGGAGAAAAAGGAAAAGGAGAGAGGAAAGAAAAGGAAGGAGGAAAGAAGAAGAGAAAGAAGAAAGAAAAACAAGAAGGGAAGGATGATTCCAAATTTTTTCAGGCAGGGACTGTCTTAAAATCCCTTGTATCCCCTACAGTACCTAGCAAAGTTCTGGGCACATACTAGGTATTTGGTAAATGTTTGTTAAATTGAATTGGAAAAACACACATACACATACAAGAAGGCATGAAAAGAGGGGAAGGAAAGAAGAGGAAAAAAGGAAGGAGGGTGAAAAGAGGTAGCACACTGGACTTTGAGTCAGCCTGTGACACTTACTAGCTGTGCATAAAATGAGGGCGTTGGATTCAATGATCTCCAAGGTTTTTTTTTCAGCTCTAAAAACCTATGATCTCATGATCCTAAGGGTAAGGTAAAATGGCTCACACAAAAATAGGAATGAGGTAAACTGCAGGAAAGGGAAAGCATCTATAGAATAAAGATGAAAAAAGGGGAAGGATAGAAAGAAGGGAGAAAGAACGATAAGAGAAGAGGGGGAAAGGAGGGAGAAGAAGGTAGTTAGAAATTAATTAAGGCACATTTATTGAATGTTTACACTGAGCAAAGCACTTTGCTCCATACTCCTGGGGATTAAAAAAAAAACAAATGAAAAATGGTCCTTGAACTATATAAATACAGTGCAGGCACTTGTGCGAAACACTTTACAAACAGTTTGATCCTCACAGAACCCTATGAGGTAGGTGCTGTTACTATCTCCATTTTATGGTTAAGAAAACTGAGACAGACAGGTTAAGTGATTTGCCCAGGGTCCCACAGCCAGGAAGTGTCTGAGGCTAGATTTGAACTCAGAAATTCCTGACTCCAGGCCTGGCACTCTATCCACTGCACCACCTACCTGCCCGAGTGCCAAACATAGTACATGCTTAAAAATGCTTAATGAATGGAATTAAACTCATTTAGAGAAACTATATATAAAAGAACAGAGTATCAAGAACAGAATTCAAGGTGAGTAAAAGAGGAGGAAGGGAAGGAGAAAAAAGAGGAGGGAGTTTAGAAGCAAGGCAACTTTGGTTATGGGGAAAAGTATTATGTTGCCCTCCTGCAGCCACCTCCCTACACCCTCACCTTTGTCCCATGCCACTTCTGATTCTCTCTGCCATCATGTGAGCTTATTGTTGAGCTTCAGCTCCTCCCTCCCTGTCACAATGAAGCCCGAGGGAGACCAGACACCCAGGAGAGAGCTGATCATGGAATCACAGATTTAGAGCTGGAAGAGATCTTAAAGATTATTTACTTAAATCCCCTCAGTTTACATAGGATGAAACTGAAGCCCAGAGAGCATAAGTGATCTGAGCCTCCCTGCTAATAAATTGCAGAGATCAGATTTGAACCCAGGCCCTTTGACTCCCAATCCAGCACCCCCCCCCCCACCCTTGCTTTTATTTCCCTTTTAACCACAAGTATTCATTGATGAATGGAAGAGCAGAACTTCAATGGAACCATAAGTCACAACCATGAATTAAAACCATTTGCTGTACAGCTACAGGGAGAGAAATTCTTTTTTTTCTTTAAGACCATCACACATGTCATGAAGCTGCTTAAAAGGCCTTCTCTAAGGGACCACATCTGACGACTTCTTTCCTCTTATACGATTCCTACATTACATTACACCATCTGTCCAGTGAGGCAGACTCATGCCCTCAGAAGGAAGTCCCTGGTAATTTATACCTACTCTGCCCAGCTTGGCCCATTCCCCTCACCCAACTTTTCAGCTTGTACTCCCATTCAGGATGGGTCAGCAGTGCACCTTCCCAAAGAATTATGTGTATCCCTTGACCTGATGAAAATATGCAAGGAAGTAAGAAATGAGCCAGGAAAAGGCCCCTGACCAGGGTACAAAAATGAACCAACTCATGGAAGAGTTAACATGGGACAGCCACATCATTCAGGGACATCTCACCTAGGCCAGCTTGGGGAGAGAAGCTGCTCTGGCTCTTTGAAAAGGCTTCAAAACCCACCTCAAGATATGCTATCAGCACCAGACCTTTTCCTTCTGAAGAATCAGCTGTTATGTACATAAGGAGCTGGAAGCTAGTTAACAAGGACCTTGCAATATACTCAACTCTTTGAACCTGCAGCACAAATGGGCAAAGAACTCCAGCATAATCAGCTAGGAATGGGGACTAGAACTGGAAATGTATAGAGAACTCCCAAGTCAGGAAACTCCCTCTACCAACGTAGACTAGCACTTTCTTCATAACGGATGGTCTTAGGGACACCAAACTACAGTCTGAGACATAAAACTTGGGCACTAAGAAGTTAATAATAACAATCATAGTTGGGCATCTAGGTGGCACAGTGAATGGAGCACTGGGCTTGGGGTCATGAGGATTCATCTTCATGAATTCAAATCCAGCCTCAGACACTTACTAGCTGTATGACCCTAGGCAAGTCACTTCACCCTGTTTGCCTCAGTTTCCTCATCTGTAAAATGAACTAGAAAAGAAAATGGCAAAAACACTCTGGTATCTTTGCCAAGAAAACCCCAAATGGGGTCATGAAGAGTTGGATGTGCCTGAAACAACTGAACAACATATGCCAGGAGCTGTCCTAAGTACTTTACAAATATTATCTCATGCATGACTGTTATGGATATGTTTTGCATGACTTCACATGTATAACCTATATTAAATTGCTTGCCTTCTCAATGTGGGATGGGATGAGGTGGAGATGGAGGAACGGAGAGAATTTAGAACTCACAGTTTTAAAAACAAATGTTAAAAATTGTTTTTACACTGACCTGGAAAATAGACCGAGGACAGACTATTTAAAAATTATTAGTCTACCTGAAAACCATGAAGAAAAAAAGAGCCTGGACAACATCCTTTAGGAAATCATCAAAGAAAACTGCCCTGAGGTTCTAGAACCAGAGGGTAAAACAGTCATCAAAAGAATCCACCAACTACCTCCTGAAAGATATACCAAGTTGAAAAAGCCAAGGAATATTGTAGCCAAATTCCACCATTACCAGGTCAAAGAGAAAATACTACAAGCACCCAGAAAGAAACAATTTAAATATCACAGAACCACAGTCAGGATTACGAAGGACCTTGCAGCTTCTACATTAAAAGACTGTAGGGCGTTTAATATGATATTCCATAAAGCAAAGGAGCTTGGATTACAACCAAGGATCAACAACCCAGCAAAAATTAGCATAATCTTTCAGGGGAGGAGATGGATATTCAATGAAATAGGAAACTTCCAAACCTTCCTGAGGAAAAGATCAGAGCTCAACAGAAAATTTGATCTTTAAATACAAGACTCAAGAGAAGAAGGGAGGGCAGATGGGGGAGGGGATAATCAAAAGCAAACACCTCTGAGGAGAGACAGGGCCAAAAGAGAGAATAGAATAAATGGGGGGTAAGATAGGATGAAGGGAAATATACTTAGTTTTTCACAACAGGACTACTATGGAAATGTTTTGCATGACTATACATCTATAACCTGTATTGAGATGCTTGCCTTTTCAATGAGGGTGGGTGGGGAGGGAAGAAGCAAGAAAATTTGTAACCTGAAGTTTTAAAAACACGTGTTAAAAATAAAAAAAATTAAAAAACAAAACAGAAAAAAAAAAGACTCAAGAGAGACATAAAAAGGAGCACTCTCCCTGGTGAAACCTGTCCATCCAAAGGAGTCAACGAAAGGTATGAACTCTGGGGGCTTCAGAGCTGCTGCCACCAGCAAGGGTTAACAGGCTGAAGTGCAGGATTCCAGGCTAGAGGAGTTGACACCTTCTCTGCGAGGCCCTAAAGGGGAGGGGCTACTTCCTATAAAAGGAGAGCATCCTGCCCCTCAGAAGCACTGCCTTGAGTAGACCTGAAGTGTCTTCATCTCAGCTGCTGCAGAAAAGAAGCAACTGGAGAGAGAAAAATGGTTACTGCTAGGGAAATGCTGCCGGAATGGCAGAGGGAAATCACCTGTAGCATCTGTAGGAACTACTTCTCTGAGACAGTCACCATCGGGTGTGGGCACAGCTTTTGCAGAGCATGTCTCTCCTGGAGCTGAAGAGTTGGAACTACAGCTTTCTCCTGTCCTGAATGCAGGCAAATGTCCCAGGTCAGAGAATTCCCAGCAGTCAATGGGAGCCTAGCACAGCTGACTGACCTGAGCAAACAGCTCTGCTCCCAGCTTTTGCAGACTACTGAAGGACAGAGCCAGTGTGCCAGGCACAAGCAAGTGCTCAAGCTCTTTAGTGAAGATGACCAGACACCACTCTGTGTGAGATGTTCCCAAAGCCCAGAGCACGGGGCTCACAAGCTTTCTTCTGTAGAACAGGCTGCTCACAATTGCAGGGAAAAGCTCCAGCACATTTGGAGCCACCTGGGGAAGCATTTGGAGGAAGCTGAGAGACTTCTGGCCGAGGAGGAGACACCTGCTGTTGACTGGCACTGGATGATCACGGGAGAATATAACACACTTCACCAATTCCTGATGTTGGAAGAATCCCGATGTCTTGAAAGGATGGAGGAAGAGAAAAGGGTGAGCCAGAACAGACTATCCCAGCATATGCAAACCCTTCAGGACCTCCAGCTGGTTCTGCAGGAAGCAGGCCACCAACCCAATGTGGATCTGCTACAGGAAGTCAAAAAGTTGCTGAGGAGTGAGTCAGTGTTGTCCCAAAGGGCCAAGGTGGTCACCCCAGAGCTGAGAGAATACCCCACCCCTGGCATGATAGAGATCCTCAGAGGTTTCAGAGTGGACATCACAATGGACCCCACATCAGCCAGTCCCTGTGTGACTGTTTCTGAGGATCGGAGGAGTGTGAAGGCTGGAGAAGGCTGGCAGGGGGAGATCAAGGACCCTGCTTGCTGGTACGTCTTTGCTGAGCAGGCCTTCAGCTCGGGCAGACAGTACTGGGAGGTGGATGCAACTCAACTCCTTCAGTGGATACTGGGGATCTCTACACCTCATTTGAGGAGAAAAAGGGGAAGGAACATGGACTCATGCGCCTCCGTGTTCCTGCTTCGATGCATCAAGAAGGAAGAGGATTACTATTTCCAAACCTATCCCGGATCACTGAACCATCGAGTGAGAGGCCCTGTACCCAGGGTTGGGGTGTTCCTGGAATATGCTTCTGGCGCTCGTATGTTTTACAATGTCCTCCAGAGCGCCCTCATTTATAAGTCCTACCCCATTCTCTTCACAGAGCCCATCACACCCATTTTTTCTCCTGGCCCCCAACTTCCAGGAACAAAGGCCGGTCCCATGACTCTCTGTCCAGTGGACTCTCATCTTTGTGCTTGAGGTCATTCCTCTCTCTGAACATTTCTCCAGGGAGGAATTCTCAACTCACCACTAGACTCCCCTGCTGTGGGCCTTCAATTTCCAGCCTTCACCTGCAAGCCTACATAACGATGCAGAGGCTCCCTGCTCCCCAACTGGAGACTTTTCTTCCAGTGTAAACTGATTTGAATTTTTTTCCAGTCCTGTTCCCTTGGAATTTCTGTAAACTCTACTTTGCACTATATTTGACATAAAATGAAATAAACTTTATCTTTTACTGTGCTTATAAAAAACTGTTTTTACATGTGACTGGGGAAAAATAAAATACTAAATAACAAATATATAAAAAAATAAGTATTATCTCACTTGATCCTTACAATAACCTCGGCAGGTAAATGCCCATTTTACAGTTTACCCTCATTTTATAGTTTACAAACACACACATACACACATATGTGTATTATATGTATGTGTGTGTGTATATATATACACACATATACAAATGCACACACACACATATATACACACACACACACACATATATATATATATTTATTTATTTATTTATCTCCTATCTATCCCTACATCCCATAATGGCTTAACAATGCCACAGAAAACCATAGGCCAAGGGAAAAACACATAGCAAGGTTTCTCCCAAACCTTAAAAACTTTGCAAAACATGGCACCATCTCCAACCTAGGTTGGCCTCTTGGACCATCTAAATGCTGCCCAGCTAACCTCTGCTCACTTGAAACAGTTACTCCACCCATAATGTATATTATCTCCAACAATGCATTTTGAGAAATCTTGGCATCTTTGTCCAAGTCTTGTCATCAAAAAGCAAAGCACAGTTTATAATAACTGGTGGTTGACTGCTTCAGGTCCACTCATATCTTTGTTTTTCTCATCTCTTCAGTGGATCAGATGTGAGGCAGCATCTCCAGAATGCACTACAACTCAAGGTCCTCAGGCAGGACTGGAATCAGGGTTTTTTTTTTTTGGAGGCGGGGAAGGCTGGCAATTGTATAAGCCCCAATACTTGTCTGTTTAAACCAGTGCTTGAAGAAAGATGTGTCGAGGGGGAGGACTGCAAAGATCACAGCATTTAAAGTGGAGAAATAAAAAAGTCAGACAACTGTAGGGAGTATGTAAAGGGAGTGGGGCAGTGCTGGGCCTCTCTGCAAAGAGGAGGGCTGGGCCCTTCCTACTTCAAATTTTTGGTTTCACCTAATGGAGGGACTTTCTACTTCAGTTGTCCTTAGAGTAGGGGTTCTGGACCTGGGCTCTGTAGGCTGGTGACCAGGATGCCAGAGGGATCTCTATGACACATAGAAGGTCAAGAACTCTATTTAGATCAAGGTCAACTGGACAGTCATTCAGATTCATGCAACTCTCCTTCTGCTTTGAAACTAGATTACTAAGGTGGCACAGTGGATAGAGTACCTGACCTGGAGTCAGGAGGATCTGAGTTCAAATCTAGCCTTAGACACTTGACACTTACTAGCTGTGTGACCCTGGGCAAGTCACTTAACCCAATTACTTAGGAGGGCACATGGGACAGGTTGTACAAAAGGATGGAGACAGGAGGTGGAATGGAGAC